ATGATTGCAAATAAAGACATTTCCTTCTGTTACACTCCCCCTCGTAATGACAGTAGTTTATTTATTTTAAACACATCTACATAGATAATTGGGTTTAATTCCTCAAATTTGCAGCACCAGAATGTAATGATAGCACCAGAGTTTTTCTCTTTATCTATTATTTCTTGAGTAAGTTGGAAGATGCCCACTCCTGCTTTGAGATGCACTGAACACAAAGGCAGCTTGCAGAACCTGCTGTTGCTTCCCCAGCTCCCCACTCCCCCAGAAGTACAAAACCATCTCAGTGCCTTAGGAAAACAGAGAAAAGTGGTACAAAAAAACCCTTCTATAAATTCAGACTCGAACTTTCTGCTGAAGTGTTTTGGGTTTGTGGTTTGTTTTTTGATTCCTCTGAAGAGTGCATTTACTTTGCTGAGCATTCCTGCTCAAGCTCTAGGGTTACTGCTATTTAGGTCTAGGGGATACTTGCACTGCGTACCAGGAACAGAATATTACCTGTTACTGGTTTAGTTCTCTAAGTTATTGGTATAAATTAAGCTGGAAATCAACATGTTGTTCATATACTAGTGCCTTTAACAGAATCCAGGGATAAAGGTCTTTTGTCATTTCCTGCTGTTGTGAGGTGCTTAATCTAAGAGCAGTTTTCTCTGCATTTTAGTAACTGAAGGTCTTTTTAACTCATCAAGAGACATCAAACACAGCTGTTCTTTCCCTGCTCCAGTAAATGCCATGTAAGGCAGCAGAAATACCCATTTAGTCCTGTCCCTTGCATCCGTTTCAGAGGAAAGACAAAAGATCAGATCCCTCCAGGTGATAATTCTGAAAGCACATCACACAGGTTTTCTTCTTCTCCTCAGTTGAACGCTTTGTTCTAAAGCATAAAGATGTAAACTGTTGATGCCCTTATTATGTCTCTAAACACCCTTATTCACATTTCCCTTGTCTAATTTTTCTAAGTAACTGACTTCAGTGGGAGCTTCATTTGTCCCAGGAAAGCTCAGCCGGTTTTTGGTACCTTGCAGAGACCAAACAGGAGCTGATGAAGCTCAGCCCTGTGACATCCCCACAATGAAGAGTCACCTTTCACTTGTCTCGATACTGATAGTTTTATAACAAAATATATTTCGTGTGTCTTGAAAAAAGAACTTTGAGTTATCTTAAGCCTTCAGGCGCTGCGTTGTGCAGCCTTTGGAGGCTGCGGATTAACAGCTGTTCGGAGAAAATGTACATAAAATAAAGCTTTTCAATCTTCTTCCTCTCTACTGGTGCTCCAGCCACGAGGTTTTCCAAAACACAAACCACTTTCCAGGATAAACGTGTGTGTTTTCACAGCACAAATTGTGGTTTTGGACAGAACTGGCGTTTTCGGTTCGCGCTGCAAAGTCAGCGGCAGAATTACCTCTACGGCTTCTTGCTTTGAGAGAGAAAACAAACTCGCTCTGTGGCTGAAATTAGCTTTCACTTCCCTACCGTGTGTTCCGAAGTGGCGTTTTATCGGCTTTGTGTCTTGAACTTGAAACAACTTCCTAATAAAAATAACCTGGAACAAGCGGCTCCCGGAGAGAACTCGGTGTGCGCGGTCAGAGCCCCCACAGCACCTCCCCGCCTCACCTGCGGCATCCGGGGCGGCGGCCGGGACGCTGGGCCGGGGATCGGGGTTGAGGTTGAGGTCGGGATGGGGGTAGGGGTAGGGATGGGGATCGGGATCAGGGTCGGGACCGGGACAGGGCCCGGCGGGATCCGAACCGGCGGCACCACCGGGACTCCCCTCAGGGTCCCGCTGCCGCGAACGCCCCGCCCACCGCGGGCAGTGCTCGCTCCCCATTGGCTGCGCGCGCTGAGGGCGGGGCCGTGTCACAGAGCCCTGGAATGGTTTGGGATGGAAGCGACCTTTGGGATCACCCAGTGCCACCCCCTGCCAAGGGCAGGGACACCCCTCCCACTAGCCCAGGTTGCTGCAAGCCTCGTCCCACCTGGCCTGGGACGCTTCCAGAGATGAGGCAGCCACAGCTTCTCTGGGCAACCTGTGCCAGGGCCTTCCCACCCTCACAGGGAAGGATTTGTTCCCAATATCCTAAACCCGTTTTCTTTCAGTGTGTAGCCATTCCTTCTTGTCGTGTCACTACATGCTCTTGTAAATAATTTTGCCCCATCTTTCCTGTAAGTTCCCTCCAGATATCAGGTCACTCCGAAGCCTTCTCCAGGCTGAACAATCCCAATTCTCTCAGCAGAGCTGCTCCATCCCTCTGCTCATCTTGGTGCCTCCTCTGGGACTCGCTCCGCATCCTTCCTGTGCTGTTGGACCCCGGAGCTCTTGCAGGTGGGGTCTCACCTGAGCGGGGCAGAGGGGCAGAATCCCCCTTCCTCTGCTGCCCACGCTGATTTGGATGCAGCCAGCGCGGGAAGGCGGAACATCGGCGGGACATCACCGGGTCAGCGGCGGCACTACCGGACCCAAGGGGAACGAGGGGGTCCCTACAAGGCGGGTCCGTGCCCGGGGCCGCCCCCTCGGGGGCTCTGGTGGCCGCCCACAGCGTCCCCTGTTGGGCGGGCGGTGCCACCGCAGCCCCGGGAGGGTTCTCCTTCTCCTTCTTCTCCTTCTCCTTCTCCTTCTCCTTCTCCTTCTCCTTCTCCTTCT